GGGACTCTCAGAGGTATTCATACACCCAAATAATTGCCAGAACTTCTTTTTCTAGTCGTACTTTCTGGCTGGACAGGAAGGACATGATGCATGTGATATAGGTCTTGTCATGCTGTTTTCATGCTGTTGACATGGCACAGCTCTTAGCCCAGGTTTGCTCAGGTTTGAGGTTATCAGACACAGTAAAGTGAAAGATCACCCCAATTTCAGTATCTTCTTCAGTGCCAGACTTCAAGTCTGTTCTATGCTGAGGTCTTGAGAAATCACTTGGGAAGTAGATGATGACTGATTTGGAGGCTTTCAGCTGGGATGTGGTTTAGAAAGCTGTTCAGTTTTCTCGTTTGGGTTTTATCTTTCCCAGCTGAGAGCCAGTAACTGGTGTTATGAGTGCATCCAACTATAGTTTATAAGGCCTTGGGTCTTAAGTGTTGATGTTCTTCCTTCAGTCACCTTTTCTGATGTGGAAATAAAACCTGTGCTCGCTATTTGTGTGTGCGTGTGCTTGTGTGTCAAGTATCAAGTGTAGGCTCTCTTGTATTGACATAGTGCCATACATACATGTGCCACCAGTACTTTTTCACTTTTAGTAATTTTACATCATTTTACAAACTGGAAGTAACTAGCAGCGTGTTCACTGTTAGTCCAGGAAAAGCAGATAAGACATAATCCATGCACCACAGGAGGGCAACATCCTTCATAAGAGCTTGACCTGTTATCTTTGTGATGTAGCTTTCGTATCACAATAAAAATCATCAGTCTGGAACAGAACAGTTTGACAGGATGACTCAGTAGAGCCACAAAATGACAGCTGCTAGAAATAAAAAATAAACAAATTGTGCCAGGTCATGGCTGTCAAAACAGGATCCTTCACCTGTTGTTCCTGCCAGTTACTCAGTCAGCTGATAGTTCGGGGGCCATGTTTTCTGTTCACAGGGCAGATTATTGATATGACATGAGAATTTAGTATGATTTTATTTATTTTCTAAGATTACACACTGTATCTCAGGATTTAACTTCTACAGCAGCAGCCACGTGCTTTGCTTGCTGATTCCAAGCGGGTGCTCCAAGCCAGTCCTGTGAACCAGCATGCTCTGCCCCTCTGCCTCAGGTTCACTCGCAGCATCAATTCTCTCCCCAGCTGCTGGGCTTCACTTGGGTCTCAGCTCTATGCTTGCAACCAAGCTCACCCCTTGTTCATATATATGGAGCCAGGCATACCAGATAAACCTTCAGACCCAATAGCTTAGTCTCCCCAGACTTGACTTGGCAATGCAGCCAGCAGAGCTGGGAGTTACCTGCAGTGGTCTCCAGGCAGTTCATTCAGCCTGAACTGTGACTTTTGTTTACTCTGTAGAAAGGATGGCTTCATTCAGCCTGAACTGTGACTTTTGTTTACTCTGTAGAAAGGATGGCTGTTGCCTATCAGCTTTAATGCTGCCAGTAGCTGTCTGTAGGTCAAAGCTTTGCTTTGAAGGCGGCTGTGTCTTCCAGCAAAGCAGGTAGGGCACATTGCAGTGTTGTGTCTGATCTGCCTGTAAACAGAGATGATGACACACTACTGAAAATGGCTGGTTTTCCAATAGTGGCCCATAAGAGTGGATTGCATATGCTGAATGGTTTTAGCTGGGAGAAGAGTTAGAAGATGCTGAAGAAGATGGTTGACTTTCTTCTTCTCCTTTAGATCAGAGTCCCTATATCTCAAACAATGCCCTAAGCTTCTACCAGAGCATTGCCTGGCACTACCAGGCATTTTGGGGATAGACAGAACAGGAAGAGGAGTCCTTCCGGTTGACATTGACATAATAAAACACTAGTTTGCTCAGGGATTTGAATCCAGGGCTACATCTATATTAATAAATTAAGCAGCATCAGAAAACATTCGTTGGTGCTGGAACTCCATCTTCTGTCCTGCTGAATTGTTTTAGTGGTCCCTGTCTTGCCCTTGGTCTGTGGTAAGCTGAATGCCTCCAAACTGTTTCCCAGTGTGGTTCAGGAGCTGTCATAGGCATGCAGCTGCCTTGTGCTGGAGGGTAATAGTATGGATGGCTGCTCTTCTGTGCTGGTTGGCATCGAAGCCAGGGACAACCCTGGGTATATTTATTTTCCTAATGTACATGCATCCCACTAGCTCCACTTCTTACCTCCCTGTGAGAAATCTCTCTCATTTGTTGAATAGCTAGTTCTATCCAATACATAGATATAAAACAGTGCCGAAAAAGAGGGCTAAGCATTGTCTACCCAGAAGTCAGGGCAGTTATTCGAATGGAGAACTCCCCAGTTTTCTGATGCAGAGTATTAGTCATCAGACAGTACGTGTTTGCAGAGGCATTTTGATCAAATATTGCAGTGATTCAACTTTTTTATGGTGCACTTTGGTAGCATATGAATCAGAGACGTTGGAAGGCAAATGACACTCCAGCCTGGTAACTAGGGCTGCTCCTGGGAGGGGAAACTCCTCAGCACTTGTCTCTGCTTTCATACGTGTTCAATAATACACAGGTCATGAGAGGAGGTGGAGCACATCAGCCAGTGTTGAGATGATGACAGTAAGATGAGGGAATTGCGACTCTGGAGCTTGTGTTCTGGTAGAGTACTTTTATACCACAGCCTCTGGAAAGGAGATTGTCAACACTACCAGTCCAACCCAGCTTTCCTTACAGCTTCTCAGAAAAAGAATTTGGGGGAAACAAGGTTGGGTTACATGTAGGCCTACATGTCCAAGGTAGAAATGGTGGCGGATGCTTATTTTGGTGAAAAGAAGAGAAAAAAAAAGAAACATGGTCTAAATTGGAGGGGGTTTGACTGCTGTACTCCAAGATGTTGTTTGTTTCACTCTGCTCAGATCAATAATGCAGCAGCAGCCCACCCATCTCCCTTAGAAAGCTGTCTCATACTTAGCAGTTAATGAGCTAGTACTGGAAAAAATGTAATGGGTCCTGCCTTGTTACGTCCAGAAAAGGCTCACATCTTGGCTTTCAGTAGAATCACCAAGAATTGACTTTGGAGAGCCAAAACACAAAGAAAATAAATGTTTCTGGTAGTTCTGAGTTGGTTTCTATAATTTCTCTAATTCTTAAACCTTCAGAAACATGTACAATGAAATTTTTCTCAAGTTGCAAACTATAGCTGTGAAAAGATGGTGTTTTCCAGTTCACTACTAAAGGAATATTTTTTTCTTCCCTTCAGAGAAGCTAAATATTGATTGGCATTTACAACAGGGAGGAAGAAAGCCCTCACTTACTGATTTTTAGAACAATAAAATGAGGATTTACCAGTGCTGTGGAACTGTAGTGCTGTGACTAAGCAATGTAGAGGGAAGTAGCCCGCCTTGCCTCTGTGGAGTTTTCTGTCTATCCTGCCTGAAGTCTTTGGGAAGCTGCTTCCAACATGAAACACTTAGCATCTGTAAAGGGAGAGCAGAATATCTATCAAACATGGAAAGATCAAAAACTGTGACCCCCTGCGGGTTAACTGTTGGGAGGGAAACAGCTGAATAATGTTGAACATATTCAGATCTCTGACTTCACCTAATGCACACTGTGAAGGCTGTGTTTGTAGTCAAACGATGATTCATTTTTATGGATGTGGGAAAGCTTTTGTGCTTCTGCCTTAAAAGACACTGTTCTATTATTTGTTTGAGAGGCAACGCCAGTTGCTTCTGCCTTCTCTTAGGCAAATATAAGCATAAATATTAATCTGGAGTGATACTAATTTTTTGCTGAAAAGCTAAGCCTGGCCATGGGAGATGGCTTGGTGCTTGGTATGCTGAAAAGGCTTGGGAGCTGACAAGGGCATTTAAAAGCCCAGCTTTCTGAAAAAGTTCAAGTTCTGTAAACCTCATTAATGTCGCTTCATGCATATCAAGAGTATTCACTGTACATGCTCATGCTCAAGAGTCAGGAGCCACCATGGTTTTGAGGACAAAATCACTGAAGCAGCTTGCCTCTTACACTTTAAAAGGCTCCTCATTCTAATCTCAGCATTTGAACATTGGCCCATCTGGTTCTGATAGCGTTTCCTCACTGCCCAGCCCTGTTAGCTTGGCCAGTTCGAGGCAGGAGCACTGCAGTGGCAGCCCCTGCAGCCTCCTTTTCTCATAGGAAAACAGTAGGAGTAGGTTAGATGCTTCTGAATCCCATGCTGCGGGCAACACAAAGAGATACTCTGTGCTACATGAAGAGTCAAACTACTTGGTCTTCCCGAGGCTGTTTCATCAAATTTTGGTTGCACTCATACTCCGAGCAGGACGTTTTTCTGCTTTAGCAGGTGGTGATGAGTAGAAAATAGAGGTGATTTTCCTTGAACAGTTCTTGGTGGGAGTAAACCTATTCTAATAGTAAGTGCAAATATTTTTAAATTGAGTGTTATGTGTTCAGTGGCTTTTCAGTGGTGTGTGTCTAATGTATGATGTGGCTTTTCTTTTGATGGTTCTGTCCCAGCTTGGCAAGCTTTGTCCATAAGCAAGTCAGAAACCACATAATGAGCAAAATGCCTTCCACAGTCATTTCTACAAGGAGTATTGTCTCAGAAGCATCAAACCCAATGGGAAATATATCCTAGAAGTGTTAATTTTTTTCTCTGGAAATAGCATGATTGGGGATTAGCAGGCAAACAGCATCAACGCAAAATGAAATCTCACACACGTGGTTGCTGTTTTATGGAAATGACCTTCCCTTTTCCAAAGACAGAAGTCTTCCACTGGGAGCTGGAAGGTACAAAACAGCTTGACAGCACAGCATGTGAATGTGCATCTCTAATATAAGCATAGCTAATACTTTCTATTATTGCTGTCTAGCACTCTCTGGGCAGCAGTCAGTTCCATTTAAATACGATGAATATGAAAGTAATAATGTTTCACATTTCACTCTTGTACACACTGTCAGGGGAAAGAATGTTGATTTTTTTTTTTTTTTTTAATAATCTGATAGTGAACGAAAATGAAAATCCATTTCCTGCAACACTGCTAGTGCTCATCTTAACTCTCTGTCTGAATTTTTCAGGGTTTTGAAGGTATTCCTTTCCCGAACTGCTCAGCGTATTCCATACATGACAGGTGGGCGAGTGATGAGGATGCTGGCTGTTATTCTCCTGATAGTCTTTTGGTTTCTCGTTGGCTGGACTTCTGCAGTAACCCAAAATTTGGAGAGAAACATTCCACTCATTGGCCAAGGGCAAACATCTGACTACCTGATCTTCAATATGTGCCTCATAGACCGCTGGGATTACATGATGGCTGTTGGTATGTTCACTTTCTAGCTTATCTTTTAATTTCTAAAATAAAGCTTGGTTGCCTTTTCATTTTTCTTCTTTTAGAATATCTGAAAGTTTTGTCAGACTGCCTAATATCATGTAAAAAGCTTCCAGGGAAATAAAATACTGGCATATATGTTTTTAAATGGGCTGAGAAGTAAACCATAATTACAGTACATTGAGACTTTTATGACTTTCAAAGGTTTGTAACTTGGATTGTAATAAATTGTGATGGGTGCTCAAGAAATTTCATCTTTGAAAGCAAAAGGTACTTTGCTCTTCTGTGCTATTAAAGTGAGAAATAATGGCTGGATTAATGGATGGTTTTTGCTTCTGCACCTCAGAACTGAGCAGAGCTCTCATGTGTGAGGAGGGGAAGAATTTGCCAGACCACTTGTTCATAGCTTACAAAAAATAGTATCAAATAAAGGGAGTAGAAAATGCACATCTAATGTCCAAACAATGTATTTTTTAAATGGGCTCTCAGTGCTTGGGATAGGCAGGAGCTAAAACATGACACCCTGCAGAACTCATATCAAGGAGAAAAATGACTCAGTTTTGTTTCCTTACTTTTATAACAGTGGCTTCCCTGTGCAAGGGTTCAGTTATACAGTATAATGTGCTTCCTCCCACTGACTGGACAGCTTCAGTGCTTCTGCACCTAAAGCTCTTGCTTCTGCTACAGGCCAGCAGTGCCACTCGTTATCTCAAATACATCACTGTTTTGAAAGCTGAAATAAATTCTTGCCTTTCTGCCCTTACCTTGCTTCCCCCATGGACACCCCACTAACAAGAGCATGGCTGCTGAGGATTAGGGAGAGGTAATGGTGGCTTCTCCACATGGAAGTGCGGATGAGATGGATAGAAGCAGCCTGGGGGTATGAGGAGTGTTTTCTCTGAGAGTGGTGCACAGAAAGCCAGCAGTTTTAAAGGGCAGAACACTGCTTCCAGGTTTGCCAAGTACTTTCCATGGCTCCAAGGTGCCCCTGTGGTCTGCTCTTCTTGCCTTTGTGTAAGATCTCAGAGGCAGTCAGGCACACTGGTACCCCATGTGTCAATATGCTCACTTGTAAACCATGCAGAGAGGAGTATAAAGGAGGACATTCTGAAATTTATCTTGATTTGAACCCTTTTGGGGGGGTGTACAGATAAAATATAGCTATACTTTTCAGTAATGGAATAGAGCTGTCACTAGATATGATGTAAAATTAATAACAAAAGAGAATTAAATGTAGGACACGATGATGTCATCTGCACAAACCCAGTTTGCATCAAAATTTTACTGCATTTCACAGACAGTAATACACTGTAGTTTAATAAAACTTTGATAGTGGTGGTTGTTGCATAATGGTAACCAAATGTTTTTATCCTCTGGATACATGACTATGGTAGTGTAGTGGTTAACAACTGAGATCTTAATTCTGATCAATAGTCCCTTTTTGGTAAGAAATCACGTGAGTTGCTGTCTCCCTAGTATTGAAAAAAAAAAAAACAAACTCCAAAATGATTTTTTAAGGTATATTTACAATTAGAGGGGTTTTAAATGTTTTTCAAAATACACTTAAGGGCAGTAGAGGCAAAGCCAGCTCAAGCCTGAGCAAAATCAGGCAGAGTTTTTTATGTTCTGTCGTTGTGCCTTCTTACGCAAACTACTTTATAAACAGAGTTATGTTTGTGTAAATCTTCAGTAAACTATGCAGCCACATTAGTAGCACCAGGAGATGTATACCTACAAGTCTGTACTAATGTGTGTGTATATATATATATTTAATATACATGTGTGTATGCACTTCAAGATTTTCTTGTTAGTAGTCTGAGAAGCTTACAGCTGATGGGAACTAGTTCCAAAACCAGATACTTCATCTCAGAAATATGTCAGGATAAATACCCATAGTGCAGAACCCCTTTTATTTCTTTAATTGAGTGGGAGCAGCCTTGCAAAAGATGGATTATGATATTTAATTTAAAATGCTAAAATAAAAATGCTGGGCAATAATTTATGAAAGTCGTGTTATTTAATTTAGTCAGGCACAGTATTTTATATAAAACTAGTGTGTATTTTGGAATATAGCCTGTCACCTGTAGCCCTTGCTGGAATACCTCCCTGTTCCAATCAGCTGTCAACACTTTATTGAAATGCGGAGGGGGAATTTTCAAGGTCGCAGATTAGTGAAGTGAGAATTAACAAGGCTCTGTTAGAAAGTCATAATGAGATGAATCCTTTATGCTACCAGATTATTGGAGTTAGGATTTATGAAGCATTTTCCATACTAATCATGATACTTAGGCTTTATCTCGGGAGACTTTTATTGGAGTGAATGTTTTATATTTACATTTCCATTAAGTTTAAGAGCATTCTCTCTGTGAGAGAAGTAGACTTAGACGCAAGGGTTGTTGCCATTTCTAGCATTGCCTCTGTACTCTCTGATATGCTGATGAGAAAAATTAGCATTCAATGAATCTTATTTTATCTACAAACATAATGTAAGTTAGTACGTATTTTCCTTGAGGTTGGATATGTGTGGGTAGCTTATTTGTTATTTGCCTAGACGCTTTTATTTCCTTTGTGTTTGTTTCTGCATTACTTTCAAGGTTGGGGCATTGGTCTCATTGACAAGCGATGGCATGGTTGACAGTCTGAGATGTTACAGAAAGACCGGAGTTGCTTGAAAATGCTCACCTCACCCACAAAGCCTTATTCCTACGGCTTGAATATATTCTATACCTCCACCTGTCACAGACAATATTCCAAGTTCGGGGGAAAAAAAAAAGCGATGAACTTTTGGTACCTGAGGGCTTGCAGTGTCACCAATCAAACTATTATTCTGTATCCTGAGGGAAAAGATCCTATAAGTGAAACAGATATCAGCACAGGGTTTAAAAGAACTTCCCAGAAGCTGGAACAAAAAAAAAGCAAAATAGCCAGTTAAATGAACAAAGTCTCAGGCAGGAGAGAAAGACAGGCAGAGAGGTAAACATGCATGCACAAACACAAATAAAGAGCAGAGGTGATATCTTACCAGGTGGATGTTCCTGACTTCAGCTCAGCCAGCTATCCAGCATGGATAGGATTTGAGCTATAGTGTTGCATTCTGTGTGGTTTTCCATGTTTTATTTAAATCAGAAGTGATGACAGGTATTAACCAAGTGCAGGGAGTATTTTTCCCCAGTACCTGTTTGACTCTTGGCTGCAGGAGCTGTGCTGCTTCCACGCAGCCGGCTGGAGTGGCTGCCATAGCCTGCTAATCACTGGGTCATTCTCTAGGGCTTGGGCACCAAGAGGATTCCAGACACGAGGCTGCACCATGATTACTGCATGCCCTCAGCCAGGAAAAGGAACAAAATGAGTGTTTCAGACTGTTCACAAAAGAGCACCCTCCCACTGTTCGTTTGTTGATATTTAACATGTATAATCTGTGCATCTGAAGAGGACATGAGTTGCCAGGACAGGCTCTGGCAGATTGGGTTTTAGGGCCACCTGTACACTTCTGAGTTAGGGCATTGTAATACAGCCTTACAAGGCCCTTTATTAAATTTTCTACAGGCTCTCTGCTGCATTCAGTGAGTGAATGATTATTATTTCTTTTTGTTATCCCTATTTGTTGTGGCCCTATGCCATCTTCGGGGTGTGGTGTTCAGAGCATGCAATGAATAAAGAACTGTTCCTTTCCAAAATGGGCATTTTTAGGCCATGTTCTCCTTAGCATCGATGTACAAAGATTAAAACCAAAATTGTCAACAGTAGCTATCCATTTTGAGTGTCTGGCTAGAGACATGGAGAGTACTGTTTATAGCCTCCTCTGTGTGGACAGCCCAACCAGGAGGCACTTGTTAGAATTAAATACTGATGAGGATCTGGCTTTAGTTCTCACATTGAATACTCTGAAAATGTGTCATGTAAAAATAAGTGATCAGTTGTGAAAAGCTTACTGTAAATGGTAATAGCAGGGCTGTATAAAATGTTTGAAGCAGAAATAGGCAAAGAATCCTGTTTTACAAAGGAGCCTTCAGCTCCGTCCCTTTCCTACTTGTAACCCATGTCTCCTGCTACCATGTACACCTCTTTCACAGTCCACATAACCAACACTGTGTGTGGTTTATGTCCCTCATCTCTAGGATATGGTGAATCTCGAAAAGATATGGGGAAAAAGATGCTGGAACCCCCAGTTTGGGCAGTTTGGGTTGTATTACTGCCTGTGGTGATGTTGCTTTTTCTTGGTACCTGTTATATTCAGGTGAAATCCCATAGCCTTTATTTAGGCACCATTTCTACGAAGTACTTCTGCTAAGGAAATCATATTTGGGTTGCCTTGGCTGCATGTTTATGTATTGATAAATGTCGTCCTCAAATGTTTCTGCGAGCCATCCATGGGAAGAGATTGCTTTATGAGAGGCTAGAAGATGCTCTGACTCCCTCTTGCCTTTCGCACCACCCTTTCTGGAATTCACTTCTTAGAATCATAGAATCACCTATATTGGAAAAGACCTTTAAGATCATCAAGTCCAACCATTACGCCAGGTCTGCCAAGACCATCAGTAAACCATATTACTGAGGGCCTCATCTGCATGGTTTTTGCACACTTCCAGGGATGGTGACTCCAGCTCTGCCCTGGGCAGCCCATTCAAATGCCTGATCACCCTCTGTGAAGAATTTTTTCCTAATATCCTGTCTAAACCTCCCCTAGCACAGCTTGAGGCCCTTCCTTCCTGTCCTGACACTTGTTACTTGGGAGAAAAGAACTGATAGCTGCCTCACTACAACCTCATTTCTAGGTAGTTATAGTGAGTGATAAGGTCACCCCTGAGCCTTCCAGGATGAACAAACCCCAATTCCCTCAGTTGTTCCTCATCAGACTTGTGCTCCAGACCCTTCACCAGCTTTGCTGCCCTTCTCTGGACCCTCTCCGGCACCTCAGTATCTTTCTTGTACTGCTCCAAGTCTTTCCAGCCCTTCACATACTTTGAATGCCATTGGCATTGCTTGCATCT